GCACATCACCACCAGATTAATAAACCGCCCACATAATTTGAGAGGGGAAGGAAACTAATGAGATTTATTTTTAATTAGTTGCTGAACTTTAGGGCCTCCAAGATTTTTGCAAGTGGGGTTGTTGATTACATTTTTTCTCTGTAATGGTCGTTGCGGTGGCCGCGGCTCTTTGGTCTGGATCCGCGTGCAGACAAGTCATGACAGTGAGGCTTACTTGTCCGTCTGCAGCCCACAAAGCACGGGATGATTTGCCCTCATCGCCCGCTGGGGTGGGGAGCTTCAGTGGCAAACACACGCCCTCAGATTTCTCCAGGACCCATCCAGCACGTGAAATGGATATATGTGGCCCTCCTGAGTATCTCTCTGGCACCCAGTTTCCCAAGGTGATCTTAGGGAAGGAGGCATAGAAGAGAAGGAATGGAGTCTGTGTGTACATGGCCAGTCTCAGTGGCAGCCACGTCTCCTACTGCATGTTAAGACTCGGTGCTAGCAGATGCATCTGCGGCCACTGGTGTTACACGGTCTCTTGACCAGGCGCTGCCATGGCCACATATTTAGTTAAGGAGTATTCTGGGTGTGCCCGTGAGAGTGTCTGGAGATTTTACTTGGACTCTTTAGATTTAGGGGACGGATCTCCCGTGTGTGGGGGCCTCCTCCAATCTGGTGCAGGAAGCTGGAAATTTACTCTTTCTGCCAGGCTGTCTCTGAGCTAAAGTGTCTGCCTGTCTGTCTGTCTCAGGGAATTGAATCACATTCAGATGGGAGTGTACAGTACTGGCTCTCTCCTGGGTCTCTGGAAAGCCAACTGCAGATCTTGGTACACCCCAGGCTCTGCGCTGGCATAAACCAATTTCCTATTGATTGCATATGGTGCTTGTCCCTTAATGATGTAGTCAGCTTCACCTCCATGAGGATGTCACACGGAAGGGTGAACTTACACAGACCCGGATGGCAAGAGGTCTGCCCCCTGATGGGTTCTCCATGACATCAAGAGACACGGGAAACACAAAGACACACAGGAGTGTGTCTGAAACGGCGGTAGCTCAGAATACATGAGGCCCTAAGTTCAAGCCCCACTACTGAAGGAAAAGAAACCCAATGACGCTGTTCTTTAGAGTTCTGATCGTGGCTTCCGTGTGCTGCTGGTGACAGTGCAGTGTGTCTGTTTACACTTCCATTGTCATAAAAAAAATACGTGCTCCATGCTACCATTTCACTAGTTGATGGGAATCTTCAGCTCCATTATACTTTCCTTTCCTTAGACAGAGCCCCATGCTGGCCTTGAACTCATGACATTGCCCCGGCCTTTCCACTGTAATCAGCCATCACCATACAGTCCGCCCCACAGAGATCCAGTGTGCTATGTAGACCGTACATGTGTTCTGTGTCCCCTGATTCATGCTTCCTTTCCGCTGTGCTGACTGGATCTGAATCCAAATCACAGCCCTTCAGCAACGGAAGGGAAATTGTCCAGACGTGGGTGATCGGGTCACCAAGTCCCAACCGGCCCAGGCTAGCATTTCCCAGAGCAGAAATGCCCTGATTCCCCCTTCTCCAGGTTGGATGGCAAGGATGCTGCCTTAACAGGAGCCAGACTGGGTGGAGGAGGCTCTCTGGGAGCTGAGTGAGGCCAGGGACTCCAGGGTCCTGAAGGTACCTCCTATCATCCCCCCCCCACTAATATGTTGGAATCTGGGATGGGGAGGGCCACAGAAATGTCCTAGCTACCTGCAGGCTCTCCTCAGCCCCCAGATGTTCAGAGCCGTCTGAATGCTGCTTCTACTCAGCGCCTCTCTAATAAACAGGTGTTGGGAGAAGAAGAGCAGTAATTAAGTTAATGCAGTGGAGAAAAGAAAGGAAAATGGTTTTTATCAGTCGATGTCACACGATCAAGACTTCTAATAAAGATGGAGTGGGATAGAAAAATACAGAGAATGGTCCCTCCTAGAGCCAAGCCAATTAAATCATATTCATTGCACGCTGGATTTTTAAATGCTCTCATATGTGTCTGCGTCCCTTACAGGAAGACTTTAAGAGATGGCGCTTGGAAGTGCACTCCCTTCTTTCCATGGCCGTCTGTCCTCCAGCCATGCCATTTAGAAGCATGGACAACCCAAGGGGGGGGCAGGGCAATTCACCCCCCCTCAAATGCTTGAGCCCCACATGAAATCAGGTATTAACAAAATACCTCGGTTTTGATTTTTTTTTTAATTGTGCGTGTCATGTCCTCTTTCACATTGCGGTGATGGGTGTTTACCTCGGTGATTTCTAACGTGTAACACTCTCTGTTCTATTCAGACACACAGGTGTAAATGCTTTTCAACTTCTTTGTTCTTAGATAAAAAGGAAATTGATTTTTATCTGGTTCCCATTCTGCTTTCTTTAAACCCAGCAAATGCTGCTTCCGGGGGCAGGGCGGTGAAACTGTGACGTTTCCATGGCTTCTTCCATTTTTCTCCCTACGGAGGAAGGTTCTGGAATGCTGCTGCTGCTGGCCCTGTCTCGCTTCTCTCTCTGTGTGTCCCGAACTTTGGAAGTCTGTGATGCAGAAGTTGGGGGGGGGCGGGAAGAAGCCAAAGTGTCTCAAGGTTTAAAGCCTTAGGAAGCAGCATGGACCTGGCTGCCGGCAGCTCACCAGGCCTGCAGAAGTCTCCTCAACCTGGCAACAGGGTGGGTGCGGACCCTGGAAGTCACTCTCATCTCATCCGTGTTGACAGTCATCGGGAACCTTTCCCTGACCCTTGCTGCAGGTTGTACCCTTTGCCCACAGGGAGCCACTTCTTCCGGACAAACCAGACCAGCGTGGTAAGTTCAAGTGAGCTAAAATCAGGTACGGGATACCCCTGGTCTGGTGTGTCCGCTCCCCCATGCACAGGCCAGCAGTGGCACCCCACAGATTGCTTTCATGTCCTGAAAACAATCTCAATGCCCTACAACTACCACCACCATTTAGGTACTGGGGAAGAAGACAGAAAGTGTTGATGTTGACGTGTCTGCGAGGATTCGCCAGGAGCCTGGCTCCTTTCCCTGACGCACACACCAATACTTTGCTCATTCGGTAAGTTTTTTTTCTTCCCCTGAGAACCAGGCTCTGCTACCCTCCTTGGGACGCAGCCGGACAGACAGACAAGGAGCCTTTGCTCTCATGGGACTCATACTATATATAGTCGAGGAGGGAGACGATTATAAAATGCAGAAGCTTGAGTATGCCAGGAGGGGTGTGGGATATGGAGGGGAGTGAATCAGGGGAAACATAAGGAAGTTGAGCAAGAGGCAAGGGATGCCGAGATGGAGCTCAGAGGTCCCCTCCCCTCTTAGGGAAGGCTGGTCCCCAGGAATGCAGCGCTTGGAGCCGCCATGCTGTGGTGTCTGATGGATTCTCATGGCTCCTAGACGAGGGATGGCATTCCCTATGGACTTGCCCCCGCCCATGCCGCCTTACACAGAGCATAACAAGAAAAGGGTCGCTTCCCTGCTCCAGCATTCTCACATGCAAATTCACTGTGCCCCTGTAGCTGGGGAGGTCGCTCAGCCTTAGTAAAGGCGCTTGCTGCTAAGCCGGAGGACCTGGGTTCAATCCCTGGGAACCACACGGCAGGAGAGAACCGGCTCCAGCAGGTGTCCTCTGATTTCCTTCCACATACATGCATGCTGTGGGTGTACATACATGCTAAATGAGTGTAAGAAAAGCAGCTTCAGTACCCACCCACACCCCTGCCAGTGTGTAAGGGACTCTTTCAGGAACTGGGTTGCAGCAAAGCTTTTTGGGAGATCGGCGGGTCTCACTGCACAGTCTTAAAACGCCCCTCTGATATGGCTTGGATGTGCACAGTCTTGTCCCCGCACAGTCTCGGGTACCCCAGGCTGATGGCGCTGTTCTGGAGGGTTGCAGAGCCTTTGGGACGTAAGGCTTTAGCTGGCTCACGTGGGAGTGGACCTGCTTCTGACTGAGGCTCTCGGTTTCCTGCCTGCGGAGGTGGGAGCAAGCTCTCCCTTCCGCCAGACAGAGCTGTCTGCTTATTGTGACTCCCTTTCCAGGAGGGGCTGTATCCTTCGAACCAGGAGCCAAAATCAAGTCTCTCCCCCTTTATATTTATTCTGCTTTGGCAATGAGATAAGTAACTAGCATGCGACCCTTGATGGCTCCCGAGAGACACGTTCCGAGGCTGGTTTGGTGGGGCTGTGACTATGCTCACCGTGCCCAGGTTACTGGTGAGGAAGTAGTCACCTATCTCCTGGGTTATTTGTGGTGTCAGATTTTGGGGCACCAGATAAGAAACCAGCGGGGGGAGGGAGGGGGAGATAAGCTCCTCATTTTTTGATACACACAAGACTTGTATACACTCGCAGTTTCTGCCCATCCATGAGCAGAGTTATTGATTCCGTGGGAAATAGAACACAATTATTTTTGAAAATAGATGGCATATTTGTCTATCTTCTGCAGCAGCTCATACTCCAATAGATAAAGTGTCAGGGGGAAAAAATAAAAGAAAATGGAGGTGTCCATGACTCAGATAGATTTTATATATATATTGGCAATTCACACGCAAGTAGCAGAAAGGCTAAAAGGAACAGTTGCCGGGGAACAAGGCAGAGATCTAAAAGGATGGCCTCGCTGCAAGAAACTAGTGATCTAGGCCAGAGGAATGGCCAGAGTGGCCCCACAGTCATTTCTCTGTTTGCCTGGGAACACCTCTGGGTTTCTCTTGGGGCAACACCATGGTAAACTTTCCTAGGTCCCACATAGACAGGACGGCTCTACCTGTTCAGCCCCAAGGCTGGGCCAGGGACCAGTCTGTCTCTCAGAATGGTTGGTCTGTTTTTACTTTGCTGCCGACCTAAAAGCAATGGAGCCATCTGACTACGAACTAAATCTCCAGTCCGGGGTAAGACCTGTCTTTTCTTTAAACTGCTTGAAAACTGCACCGCACGGTGTTTTGTGGTGCATGCGGCTGTGGACTGGTGCCCCTGGCACTCGGACACACCTAGATCTCTCTCACCTGTGTGTATCCTCAGGTGGACCTTAAGGTGGTGGGAAGTCCGGAAAGTCTTCCCACAGTACGGGCAGTCCTTCATGGCCGAGCCCAGGTTCCTGTCTCGAAGCAGCGCCTGCTGCTGGACGCCGCCGGCGGTTCTCCCGGCCTCCTCGCCGATGTCTGCAGCGGATGAGAAATATTCTCACATCACTTCAGCACATGTCAGAAGTTGTTCGCACCAAAACTGCTAACACCACACAAAGTTAAACATGTCAATACTACACCTGTCTATTTCATTCTTTGAATCTGACAGAATGCTGACAATTCATGTATTTTCTTGTTATTCTCTTAAATTATTTCATCTCTCCTATCATCATTTTAAGCAGCATATGGTACCTTTATATTGAACTGAATTAAACAAGAGAAGAAACAGCTGTGTCAGCAGCTGGTTTGATTTCTTCTTTTTGCTTAGTTCCTATTAAATACTTTTTTTTCTAAAAGTTTAAAAATGTGGGCACTGGTGGAATTCGATTAATTTGTAATATAGGCTAGCTGGAAAGTTCACTCTAGGATCAAAAACAAAAACAAAAAATCACATTTGCAGTTTAGCCCAGTCACAGAGAGGGCCGGGAAGTGTCTCAGCTGACTCCCCGAGACAGGCAGACACCCAGCTATTTTGGAACAGGAAAGAAAATTATCCCAAACCGGCGGCTGCTTGCTTGTACACTTGTATCCACCCCTGACTGGTGCAACTGCATGGGAGGAAGAAGAGGAAAATGGATGGAGATGCAGTTCCACAATTAGCCCATGATAAACACACAGTGACACATCCAAAGTCATGTGCGGAAGCTCAGCTTCCCAACTCCCATAAACTCTGAGCACTGCGTTTAAATCTCCATGCCGCGACTTGAGAAGCCCCTCCGTAAAGTATCAATACAAATTTTTCCATCTTGCCATTATTTGTTGTGTAGCCCAAACCATTAGAAAGAAAGTGGAATAAAATTTACATACGGCTGCCTTTTGCACGGAAATGATAGGATATGATGGTAAATAAAACTGGGAGCATCTAGTGTTTCGGGGTGTGTTATTGCAATACCCGGGACCTACATCTACAGAGCCGGGCAGTCCTTGAGCATCTGTGCCTTTGAGGAAGGGAGGCAAGAGAACCCTCTCAAGACTCACTTCTCCCCCCAAATCTCTGGCCTCCCCGCAGGCCTCCTCACCCAGCAGAGGCCTCCCTAGCCTCCCATCCGAGGCTGGAAGGGTCTCGGCCAGGGCCTCCAGCCGGCCCTCCAGGCCTCGTGGTAAACCCCACTAGGAAAACAAGGGAACCTTCTGAGATAATGAGCAGATCTGTGAGTTCTGCTGAGCTGAGAATAAATAAGATTTGTACCTTCCAAGCGATAGAAAATGCAAATTGCTTTTATTCTGCAACATCCATTGCTGGTGTTCCCTGCTAATGGCCGAAAGGGACAGACTTATAGACCATGAACGAGACGAAGGCAAACACACTTAATTCTTATTTGGATGTTGGCTCCCGGCAACCGTGCAAGCGCCCTGGCTGGGAACATCCTTCCCACACTTGGACCATGTGTGAGCAGATCACCACCCCAGAAAAGTACATTGAAGGACTCCTTCCAATCCGATTTGCCCCCAACTCTCCCTGTCCACTGTTGGAAGACCCATACGGGGTGTACAATTACTCAGAGGGTTTTTAACTCATGAGTTTTACAAATGGGAGGATTAGGCTTATCCAGATCCAGAACTCTTACCCAACGCGGGCCCTCCTCACACTGAGCACCCGATTTATAGACATTCCAACAAATGTGAGAAGCACTCGGAGACCACCGATGGGTGAGGATGAAAGCTCAGGTAGTGTGGCAAAGCTGGGTCACACGGGCCCCACACACACTGTCTCCCTGGGGGGTCATTCGTGAACTGTAGGCTGAGTCTCCCCAGGGTTTCCCTTTTGCTATGGTGGGGAAGGAGCAATGTATACTAGGTAACAACACCTCTAGCTCTTAATTCCATTTTGTTTTGTTTGAGACTTGTTTTTATTTTCAATGCTACATGCATGTGAAGATCAGAAGAGGTTAAGTGATGCCTTGGATCTAGAGTTAAGGGCAGCAACGGGCTGCCTGCCATGGGTGCTGGGAACCAAACTTAGGTCCTCTGCAAGAGCAGTATGTGCTTTTAACTACTGAGCCGTCTCTCCAAACCTAGGTTTTATTCCCTCCCTCCTTCCTTCTCTCTTCCTTTCTTCTTTTGAGACAGAATCTCACAATGTAGCTCCGTCTGGCCTTGAACTCACAATCCTCCAGGCCTGAAATACTGCACACAGTCCACATGACTTTGAGCAGCTCAAACGGCGGGCGTCTCCCTGTGCTCGTCCCTGCACCCCCACCTTTCCCAATCCACAACATCTGCCCATCTCAATCTCCAGACTTACTTTTCCTGGGATCTTTGGGTCAGTTTAAGAAATGATGAGTGGACTAAGACTCTGCTGAGTGCCACCTGGAGACGAGTCGAGACACCCTGAGTGCCCTGAGCTAGGTCTGGAGGCCAGCAGCCACCTTTTTTTAAATCACAGGCACCACTTGAGTGGCAGGCTGGAGTCAGGCAGGTGCGGGCCTCTAGTAGCGGATCCCTTCAAGCTCTCTTTCCCGCCATCTACCCCAGCGGCGTTTTTTTCCAGCAATGAATGCGCCAGTGTGCAGGCATACCATGGCAGTCGAGGAAGAGAAGCTGTGTTCGTGGTGAGGAAGGGCCTGTTTCTGCGGGGAGCTTTTGGTGAGGACTCCCTCGGACTGTTCTAGATGAATACGGGGAGAGGTGACGCCCCACTCTGGAAGGCTTTACAGAAGTTGTGGTGACCTTTGCCTGCCTACGCGTCACTCTAAGTGATGGCCCGTATCTGTTTCCCTTTTTATCTTTCTATCGTGGGTATGTGTGGTCCAATAAAAGGAATAAATTTGTAAGATAAACAGCTTTCTTTGCAGATTTAAGAGTTTAATTTTCGGAACTTGTTTTTTTCTTGGAAATCCTCCCGGGGTCCTTCCCTTGGCAGCGCAGGCGCCACCTAGGTTTGTTCTGAGGCAGCGGCGATCCGGGCGGCTCAGAGCTCGGGACCCCCAGCGCCCGGACAGCAGGGCGGGCGCGGCTGCTTCCCCCGCCCCGGGACGACGCCCCTGCTCCGCGGAGGTTCCGCCCAGCCGAGCCCGCTGCGCGCAGCCTTCGCCGCCGGCCGCCATGTCTTCAGGGGCGAGCGTCAGCGCCCTGCAGCGCCTGGTGGAGCAGCTCAAGCTGGAGGCCGGCGTGGAGAGGATCAAGGTCTCTCAGGCAGCCGCTGAGCTTCAGCAGTATTGCATGCAGAATGCCTGCAAGGATGCCCTGCTCCTTGGCGTTCCAGCTGGAAGCAATCCCTTCCGGGAGCCCAGGTCCTGTGCTTTACTGTGAAGACCGGGAAGAAGTTCGCTGGGGAAGCACATGGTGATGGGTGACTGCCACCACGTCCCAAGAAAACGGTTTTCAACAGCCAAGTCCCTTTCTCTGTTGCCTTGTCCTAGAGCCAAATTCTACAGAAATTTGTTTGTTTTAACCTCACTTCAAAATTTCCTAAGCTGCATCCCTTCCCTCACAGAACCTGTGATGGTCTGCCTGGGATATAGGCATGTTTTACTTACCCGGTGTTTGCAATTTAGGAAGGAAACGTTTATTTTCAAAAACTGAGTATTTGTAATTTTCCTAACATTTTTATACTCTAATAAAATTTGTTCATAAGAATTTACAATTACTAAATGAAGAAAAAGTATAAAATTGGGGGAATAATTGATATCCTGATATTTTTAAAGAAAACTGTTTCATGTTTTCATTCCATAGTGAGATACAGTCTTTCTTTGACAGTAGACTTTAGGAGACGCTCTTTAGCCAACGGAAAGAACTGATGTAGCATTAGGGTGCCCATCCTGAGGCTGGTTAGATCTTTCTTTAGCTCCCTTGGTTTACAATATATAATTGTATTTTTAGCTCTTAAAAATGTGCTTATGCCTTTAAAAAAGTTTAAAATATGACCTACATTCAGAACATTGCAATTGGTTAAAAACAAAATGAAAATATTACAACATAAAAGAATTAATGTCACAAGTATGTTATTGGGGTGATGTGCCTTTGATTTAATTGGGGATACTTTTAGAAGGAAAATTTGTGTTTATAATAATCTTTGAAGAACTTGGAAATAAAATTTTTGCTGAATTCAAAAAAAAAAAAATAAAAAAAATAAAAAAAAATAAAAAAAAAAAAAAAAAAAAAAAAAAAAAAGAGTTTAATTTTCACTTTACACAGAAAGGGTTTTCTCCGGGAGGGCCAGCAGGCCTGTGGCGTTTACTCTTAAACTAATCCTTCTGGAAAAACAAACTCCGGGCCACAATGAAGGGGAATGGTGGGTGGTCCCAGGAAGTGTCCAGGAGGCCGGAAGCCAGACGCAGGGAAGTCTGGGAGCATTTCTGCAGCCTCTGCCCAATGTGCACACACATGGAGCTTTGTGGATGAATTCTCCAAACCGGTCCTGGGGTGGGTGCTAGTTAGCATGTACGCACTAAGCTGCTTCAACCCCAAGGTCCACGAGCTTTGGAAGGCATGTGGCTCCTGATGCCCACCCTGCACAGAGTATAGAAGTGCTCGCAGCATCCCTCTGCCACACTGCTGGGCCACACCCAGCCAATGGTCCTGCTACACCCCACCACCATTGCACGAAGGGCAGCCAAGGTGTGGCTGCAGACCCTGAAAGCTGTCTCTCCAAGGGCGTGACAAAATTGCGTCCGTCAATTGGCATGAGCTAAGTGATCAGTCCTAAAAACATACATATATAAGCAATGTTAAACAGTCTCAGGAGATTGCATTTACACACACACACACACACACACACACACACACACACACACAGAGAGAGAGACAGAGAGAGAGAGCAATAATAGTTAAAGAAAGAGAGAGAACAAATTTCAGAGGGGGCAGAATGGGGGTGAGTGGGGCATGGAACCAGTTGGAGGGAAAAGAGGAAGGGTTAGGAAAATGGTGTGATTATATTTAAGTATATAAACAAAAAATTCAACAAACACCCTCAGAGAATTGGCCAAAGTCTTCCAGGTTTATACCAACTTTTTTTTTTCCAAGACAGGTTTTCC